GACGGTCTACTTCCAAAAAATTAGCCATTGAAAACCCTATGGAGCACAGTTCTATTCTGACACACATAGCGTTGCCATGAGTCTGAATCAGCTCAACCGCATCTGATTACTGGTTACCCTTTGACCCTACAGTAGCCTGAATGCCACAGTTTTTCATGTAACCTTCATTAGCACCCCCACAGGGTAAATATGGTTAAGCCTCCTTTATACATGAGAAGTCTGAGCCCAGAGAGGTGGAGCCAGGAATATAGACGAGATTTATTGGTCCAGATGCTAGATTCATAATTTTTCCTATACTTTCTCTCATCTTCCGGCACTCCTTCAGCCAACTTTCCTGCCATGCCTCCCTGAGCCATGGACCCAAAATGCATGGAGACAGAACGTTTGAGCCTTAGGTACCCTCCCTCTGTCCATGAACTTTCCCACTGTCTGGGGTACTGTAAGTTACAGCTCTGGGAACCCAGGACCCAGGTCACCTACTGCCTGCCACTACCTTGTCCTGCCACCAGATGGCACTGCTTCCCGTCAGAAGCCCAGCCTGGGATCCTTAGGTGGTGGCACTGGGAGTGAGGGGCATTGATTGAGGAAGGACTTTGGAGAAGCCAGAGCCCAGGAGGTTGGGGAGGAGGAGCAGGAGCTGTCCAGGGATGCTTCCTGCAGAATCCCTGCCCTGCAACCCCTGCAGCTCCCCACCCTCCTCACTCCCCACCCCACCACCACTCCCTACACAGACCTGCAGGTACCCCCAAGAAGGGGCAGTACCCAGGCCTTCCGGGCTGCACACACATTCCAGGGATAGTCACTGACACCTTTCACAGGACAGGCATCCCACCCCTGCACATGGCCACAAACACCATGCACCTGTGCACCCGCGTGTACTAGGCAGCAGTGCTCACAGCCAACACTTAAAACATCTGAGTATATGCACGCACAGAGCCATAGAAAGGCCAGGCCCACATGCCCAGCTTGGTTCTGGCACATCGATCATGAATCATGGAGGAAGATTCCTTCGCCTCTTTGGTGGAATGTCTCTGTACTCTGCCCTATTCTGCTCTCCTTGTTCTCCATGGGCTTGAAAAGGAAGCAGCCCCCTCTGAAAGGGTGAGGACCTCGTCTTGTAGGATTGCCTGGCCCCAAAGACAGGGCAAGAGCAGCCCAGCCCTGGCCCCAGCATCAAGAGCTCCACTTGCCCCCACCCCCAAGCATGCCCATTCCCTGGGGTAGGAAAATTGCTGGCGCCAAGTTCCTTGGGTCCCAGGCTGCTCCCCTTCCCTTCCTACCCTCATCCCTTCTCTCCCAGCACCTCCTTCCTGGCTCACCCAAGCCAGGTGCTCTCACCAGCCCATCCTCAGCCTGCTGCCACCCCCACAACTCCTGTGCTTCCTCCTGCCACTCCCTGGGGCTGGGAGGCAAGGCCAGCTGTCTCACAAACACTCCAACTTTTCTGTTGGCCAGACAAGACTGCTGCTGCACCCAGGAGTGTCACAGGAGCCACCAAGAAGAGTCTCAGGGCTGCCAGCCTCTGAGGACCCCAGCCTGGACAAAGAGGAAATCCCCATTGTTCAGCTGGTACGCCACTGCTGCTTGGGGTCCCCTGTAGCCCCCCAGAAAATAAGGAGAGAGAACGTTACTGCCTTCCCCAAGAGGTGAGCAAAGCAACCACTCCTATTTGACTATACCACATCCACCACCGAGCTCATTTTACAGAGGGAGAAACTGAGGCTCCACAGAGGAAAAGCTTAAACCCCCACTTTGTCCAGTATGTCCACAGTAGCTGCAGTCTCCGGAAGTCAGTCCCCACCTCCTGCCCCGACAGGTGCAACTTCTTAAAGAGGCCCGAGGCCCAAGTGGGAAATGAGGCGGCAGGTCTCATTGTCACCCCAGCTCCAATGTACTGGAGCCCCAGCCAGAGTGAGGAGCCCGTGCAATATTTAGAACATATTTATATCAAAAAAAATTATTGTTTATCTGAAATTCAAATTGAACTGGGCATCCTGTATTTGATCTGACAGCCCTACCCGAGAGCCACTGCTCAGCCACAGACTCCAAGGACTGCCCTCCTGTGGTCCCAGGGTCTCACTTTGATCATGTGTAAAATGGAAAGCAGCAAATCAAAACAGCAACCTCCCAATGGGTCTCATTAAAGATTAGACAATCCAAGTAGTCAAAGCACCTTTATCCAAAAACTGATGATCTGGGTGATCCCATTGCCATCAAGTCGATTCCGACTCATAGCAACCCTATAGGACAGAGTAAAACTGCCCCATAGCGTTTCCAGGGAGCAGCTGGTGGATTTGAACTAACTTTTTGGTTAGCAGCCAAGCTCTCAACCACTGCACCACCAGGGTTCCAGTCTGGGCGATATCAGGCTTAAATTCCTCCCTTCTACACTTCTTTCTTTAACCCTAGCACTGATGACTGGGGATAAGAAAATAGAGTAGTTTCTTTTCCTCTTTACTGGAAAGGGTTTGTAGGAGGAGACAGTTCAGCAGTTGAGTCCAGCTTTGCATGCAGGTAAACAGACCTGGGTCCCCCACTTACCAGCTGTGGAACCTGGGCCTAGTTACTTCACCTCTCTTGAGCTTCAGTTTCCCTGCCTGGAAGATGGGAATAATACCTTCTTCCCAGCATTATGAGGATTAAATGTGATAATGCACATAAAGTACTTACCTTGAGGTCTGGCGCACAGTAAGTGCTGTGTAAGTGCTGGCTGCTCCTATTCTGATTATTGTCGGTCCAGGACAACCTTAGCCCTGGCTGGTTTCTCTTTGCCCTCAGTACTGCCTGCTGCAAGGGCTCAGGCTCTCCATACTTAAATGAAAAATGAGCTCGTAACCAGAAAAATCCTAGATACGTTTTCAGGACCAATAACAAGTAGTAGAGAATCCACTCTTGGGGCCATCTGTCCACTCTCCATCCCAGCAGAGAACTGAAAACTAAATGGGTCAGAGAGTAGAGGTAGGAGGCTCTGTTCCTAGGCCCCCTTGTACCTGAGTGGGCTACAGCTGATTGAGGTAGAGGACAATTGAGGTCAAGGAGCCCATTTGGACGTGAAGCCAGATGTATTGCCCTCTCCAAGCCAGCCCATTGACCCTGCCTCTCTGCTGGGACCAAGCCTGCATTGGAACCTTTGCCCAGAGCACACTCACTTCCCTGGGAGCCTCTGGTACAACGGGGGTGTTGTGACAAACTAGAGGCCAGAGGGAGAGGTCAGAGTGGGTGGTCGGAGATGGTATAGCACAAAGCAGCGGCTGGAACACGAAGAGGGCCAAACTCTTTCCTCCTGGTACCCCAAGGGCCTGTCAGATCCCCAACAGTTATCATCTTTGCTGATTCCTGGGACCCTGCCCTTTTAGAGGCTGTGCTCCAGGTAAGGCTTAGAGATTGGGGAACAGGTGCAGGACAGATAAGGAGGGAGCAGCAGACAGAGGGCTGGGGGGATTCTAAGCTTCCTCACTCTACCCTACCCCACCTTTGCTTCAGGTTCCTGAGATTGCAAATCCATACTGGCCTGGCCTCTAAACTCCCAGAAACCTCTGGGTTTTTTTTAGCAATGCCTGTTTATAACCACAAGAGCTTTCTGCAGGTTTTCAAGATCTCTGGCCTGACCCTTTTGAAGGTATTCTGGGGAATGCTGGGGCCGACCCTCATCTAGGAGATTCAGGTCAGATAAATCTTCCCATTCTATTAGTTCTTTCATTTCTAAAGGGTCTAGAGAAGTATGACTTTGTCTAATGGGGGGATGCTGGTCTGACCCGCAGTTTATAGGTCAGAGACCCACCACTACCATCTGGAGTAACTCACTTCCTGTCCCTCCCAAGCCTGGCTGTCAAGTGCCTGGACCCCTGAGAGGTGTTGCCAGAGATAGCCAGGAGTGCCCACTTAGGCCTGGGACCCAAACTCATCAAGGAGAGGCATTCTAGGCGGAGAGGGGTGTTCTGGGCCCTTACCGTGAGAGGCAGCTCTTCTGCGTTCCCTCAGAGGTGGAGGTGTCGCTCTCTGAGAAGTCACATGATGTTCCTGGCAGGAGCTCCCTCTGCCCAGCTACTGCTTTACCAGGCCCAAACTTGTCACAGAGACAGCCGTCTGTGAAGTCACAATGTGAGCAGCCTCCCTACAGGACCAAAGACCAGGGCAACCAGGGCCCAGTGGGCATGACTTTGGGGGAGAAAGGGCTTCAGGACTGACCTTTGGACTCTGGAGAGGAGTGAGGGGTCTAGAGAGACTCGCTAAAGGAGAGCTGTTCCCCTCTACCTCAGGCTGTAGTGGGTGGGGATCTGGGGATGAGGACAGATTCTCAGGTCATTGCCAGGAGGTGAGAACAACTGGGGCCTGGGGCTGTGATCTTTGACCCTGGGCCTATCCCTGGAGACCCCGCGGGGAGGGGAGGAAGTAGGAGCCCTGCCTTGCCTGAGTACATACAAGGGTCCTGATCACTGATGTTCTGGGTGTTTCATAGCAAAGGGATTAAGGCTCTGAGGCAAAGACCAGCTCTTCCCTTCCCTATGATCCATCCGCAATTAACCACTTATTGAATATCCCACCTGCTTCCTGGGCAAACCCTTGCTACCAATGCTGCTACATTGACAAGCAGGCCAGACAGCCTTGGGGCACCCCTATCTACTGGGATATCCAGAGGGAGAACAATACCAGGAAAAGAAGGGGGAGTGCCGAGCACTCACTCTTTCCAGAGTATAGGCTCCCACCTCCCAAGAAGCCAACTTGGGAGAAAACAGGAGAAAGCTTCATTCCATAAAAAGTGTGGAAAGCTGGTCACTACCATGGAAGGTTCCAGTTTGTGTGTCAGGGATGGGGAGAGTCACTTGATGGAGGCCTTACTTTAAAAACAAGTGAACAACGCTGCATTTTAATTTAAGGATTTCTGAGCTCCTACTCTGTGCCTGGCCCTTTGCCCCGTGTGCCCTGTGCTGTGGAGGACACAACACGAGGCAATTACAGGCTCTGCCCTCAAGGGCCCACAGTCTAGGGACTGACTGACTGCGCAGCTGCTTCCCTTAAAGAGAAAGCTGTTGTCCCAGGAGGAGTGGGACACCTTGGAACCCAGGAGGAGCCCTGCCTCCCAGTCCAGGGCCCAACATTTTCCTAAAGGTAAGATCAGACTGGGATCATGAGGGCCTTTGGCAGCTGAGCCAAGACAGCGTCTCACTGCCTCTCAGGGTCTGCAGGTTGGGGGTGTTGGGGTTGTTTACTCTGTTGAGAGTGGCTCCTCACCATGTGATCCCATGCAAAGAGACTTCAGCCTGCAGCCAAGAGCCTCTCTTGCATGTTTTGTGGGGCTGCATTCAAGCCATGCCTCCACAGAGGGCCTTCTGCTGCCTGCTGTATGGGAGACATGCTGTGGGAACAGGCCTAGTGTGAGTATGGTTTGATTAGATCTGTGGTTTTCAAATTATATTAGTATTATTTTACTACAGAATCCTTTTATCCAGTGAAGTCTCATATATCTGTTCATTAAATAGGTAAAGAGAGCTATGCAGGAGGCTGGGGGGCCATGGTATGCCAGAGTCCCTGCCAGTTCTGAGGAACCCCTAGGTTTCCAAGGAACTCGGTTTGAAAACCACACATCGCGTGGCTTCCAGATCCTTCCAAGTTTGACCTGCCATGAATCTGTCACCACAATGCCTGGGATTTCTGCATATTTAGTGGCCACCTCGGAGCCCTGGTGGCACAGTAGTTAAGTGCTACAACTGTTAACCAAAAGGTCAGCAGTTCAAATCCACCAGCCACTCCTTGAAAACCCTATGGGGCAGTTCTACTCTGTCCTATAGGGTTGCTATGAGTTGGAATTAACTCAATGGCAACGGGTTTATGGGTTTGAGTGGCCACCTCAGAGTATCTGCCCAAATTACCACTTCTAGTTCCTAGTTGCAGTCCGGCTTATTTCCACCTGCCAGTGCATCCCCAGCCCTATATCTCCCCTGACATTCTGCTCCCAACTTTACTCTTCTCTTTCAGGCTCTAAAATCAGGAATCCAGGGCTCTGTGGCCCACAGCCCATGTGGACATCCGAGTCAGGAGCTCATTAGGCACCCCTCTGTACCTGAGTCCAGTGGGCAAGAGACAGGAGACTCTCTTTCTCCAGGTAACATTCAGCTTTGCCTTATTCTCTTCTGAGAACCTTGTAACCTCCAGAATTAAAAATGCAGTGCTCCCTGGGTGGTAAAGTTTGTGCTCAACTGCTAACATAAAGGTTGGCGGTTTGAACCCACCTAGCAGCACCATGAAAGAAAGGCCTGGCAATCTGCTTCCATAGACATTACAGCCCAGAAAACCCTATGGAGGAATTCTACTGTGTAATACAACCGACTCGATGCCAATGGGTTTCGTTTTGTTTTGTTTTGTTTTAAATGCAGGACATGTTTGATCTCATGGGGCTGCCAGCCTCATGTACGCCCAGGGAAGTCTGGGTGGAGACCAGAGCCTGCACTCTCCGTGTTCTTTCCCCCTAAGATATAGAGCAAAGGGGGCAAGATGGGTTCCCCATCGCACAAGCCAGGCAGGTCTGGGTTCCAGGGCCTTTCATTTCAAAAAATCCATGAGAAGCATCATGGCCTTGGTTTACTCTGAAGACAACAAGTTCAGGAGAGCAGAGTAATGGTGCTGTGGGCCTGGTTACAGGGAAAGTTGCTGCACCATAGCTGAGAACAAAGGCTGATTTGCCCTAGTGGCTGGGGAGGGAGGGCAGAACACCCTGGTCCCGAGATGGGGTCTGTTATGGATTGAATTGTGTCACCCAAAAATATGTATTGTAAATTCTAACCTCTATGCCTGTGGTTATAATCCCATTTGGGAACAGGTTGTCTTTGTTATGTTAATAAGTCAGGATTAGTGCTGTGTGTATCTTGAGTCGATCTCTTTTGAGATCTAAAAGAAATTAAACACAAACTAGAAGCAGAGGTGGGGGAAGAGAGATGCCAAGCCACATGAAAATGGCCCAGGAGCAGAAACTCAAAAGAGACAAGGACCTTCCTCCAGAGCAGCCAGAAAGAGAATGCCTTCTCCTAGAATTGGCACCCTGAATTCAGACTTCTAGCCTCCTAAACCATGAGAAAATAAATTTCTGTTTCTTAAAGTCACTCACTTGTGGTATTTCTGTTATAGCAGCACTAGATCGCTAAGACAGGATCAAAGCCTTCCCACCTCCTGACTTTGGGGCATTTGTCTTTAAACAACCAAGGACTTTTATTGAGTCCATTCATTTGATCCTCACAACTATGTTTGTTATTGGAGAAAACAAGAATCCAGGGAAAGGGTGCAGTTAGTATGGGGCTGGAGCCTAACCCCGGCTCTACTCTTCCTGGCAGGGTGACGTGGCCACATCCCCTGAGCCTTTTAAACCTCTGTTTCCTATTATGTAAAATGGGGATAATACACCCACCTTGGCACCTTAAATAAGTAAATCAGATTATAACACTTTCCATAAATGACAAATCAAATAATACAGGATAGCTTTAATTTTCTGGGGTCTGTTCTATGCCAGGTCCTATGCAAAGCACTTTGAAAGTGTTTTCTCTAATCTCACAGCAACTTTGAGGTGGGAATAATAATTATCCCCATTTTACAGCATATGAAGTGATGTGCCCAAGATCAGACAGATGGGCAGAGGAATGAGGACTCCCACCTGAGTCTGGGTCCTTCAGAGCCCTTGTGGTTGACTACATCATTCCACCTCTATTCAAGAGGGGAGAAGGGAGACCCTCCCCGTAGGGATGGTACTCAGCCTGATGGATGTAGTGAATGGTGATGATGGCAGCCTATGAGAAAACAGATCACCCACTCCTCCTGGGGTGGAATCAGAGAGCTGTGATATTGATGGACCTTGAGACATTCAAAATGTCAAGTCTTAGGAGTCTTAGTCTGTTCGGAAAGACAAGACTCCCAGGCAGGACATCACAATGAAGGACCAAGCCAGTGCCAGGTTGGGTGGTGGCACCAATGGACGGAAGGTTAAGGGAGTTCAGAGCAGGAGAACAGGAAGGTTTCCTGGAGAAGCTAGATCATGAGCTAGGCCTGCAGGGTAACCAGGGGTCAGGTTCATTAATTCGTTCACTGAAGTTACATGGAGTGTGGATTGGGTTGGGGCTGAGCAGGAAGGGCATTGAACAGAAAGGCAGTGAACAGAAACTGAACTTTCACTCCCGTCTCTGTCTTAAACTGTCCCAAACCACGGCAGCTGGGCAGCCTCCCCCTACTTCCCTGGGAGACTGCCGGGGGAAAACAAGATCATGTTTTCTAGGAGAACAAGATCACGTTTTCCCTGAATGTGGCCCTGCAGAGCCTGGACACCTTGGCCCTTACTGAACTCTCAAAATGCCCATTCTGCTCATCTCACCCCAAACCACCTCTGTTCTTTTGGTCTTGCACCTGGCTCACTCATTCACTTACTCCATAGACATTTCCCAGGGCTAGTCACAGTGAAGGAGCAAGACCATCACAAAGCCCTTTAGTAAACAGACGGGCTAGCACAAGGTTCTTGATCCTGGCTGCACATTAGAATCACCTGGGGAGCTTGTATGACATACCAATGCCCAGCCCCTACGCCAGATCAATGAAATCAGAATCTCTAGGGGTCAGGTACAAGCTTGAGTGTTTTTCAGAGCTCCTCAAATAAAAATATACGGCCAAGGCTGAGAGCCACTGGTCAAGGAGGAGAGATTGGCATTAAACAGGATGTGGGCATGATGGCCTGCACCCTGAGGTGGGGCTTTGTTGTTGTTCCTAGTTGTCGTTGAGTGGATTCAGACTCATGGGGACCCCATGTGTGCAGAGCAGAACTGCTCTATAAGGTTCTCAAGGCTGTGACCTCTCGGAAACAGATGGCCAGGCCTGTCTTCTGAAGCGCCTCTGGGTAGGTTCAAATTGCCAAACTTTCGGCCTAGTGGGCTGAAGTCCTGAGTGATGAGTAAGGGGGGCCCTGCTGTTCCTGGAGGCTGTGGGACCCATTGCAGAAAAGCAGGACAGCGGACTCAGGGAGCCAGCACAGGGAATGGAAGGAGCATGCCCTCTGGCACTAGAGTTTCCGGCTTAGAATCTCGGCCCCACCGTTCTCTGGCTGTGTGGCCTTGGCAACTCCTCTGAGCCTTAATTGCTCATCTATAAAATGGGAGTACTAATGCCTACTTTGAGGATGGCTGCAAGGAGGGCAACCAGGAAGCACCTGGCATGCAAGAAGCACTCCAGGGATGGGATTGCTAGCAGCAGCAGCAGCACAGACTCTGTCAGCGCAGACAGGGCCCTAAGGATCAGCCGTCCAACTCCTTGTTTTTCACATGGAAACATCCAAGTCCAGAGGGAAGAGATTTTCCTAGGCCATGTAGCCAGCTGGAACTGGAATCTCCCTCCATACGATGGCTTTGCCTCACAGTGGCCTGTGTTGAGCTTTAACTCTCCTCATCCAGCATGGGACTTCTAAAGTAGCAAGTGCTGGATTTAAAAATACTTTTTAGAATGTCTTATTTGAGCTGCCTCTTAGACCCTTGAGGGGTCTGCAGGCCCTGCAGCCAACCTGGCCATTTGACCCGAATGGGCTGTTTGGTCCCCAGTCCTGTCTGACATTCCTGTTACAAAGAGGGTTCATTACGTTGGTACCAAGGGTGTGGCCACCCTGAGACTGACGATTAATGAGAAAGATGCCACTGTCTCTGGGGCCTGGGTCTGGGTGCTAGGAATGGTGGGGAGAGCAGGAAGAGGCCTAGTCATTTTTCCAGATAAGCCTTTTTTGTAGTCTTTGACTTTTAAGCCACTAAGCATACATTAGTTCCATAAAAACAAAATTATGTTGAAAAGTAAAACTAACATATAGGGATTAGTAGTGCCAACCCCCAGGAGTTTGCAAGGATTACAGAGCTAATTGATATAAAGGGCTTAGCCTGGCCCAGGTGAGTGCTCATGCTTTTCATGTTTTGTTCCAAAGTTATCTCTGTCCAATGTTCTCTGTCTGTCACCATTCATGGGAGGGAGATGGTGGGAACAGTCTCCTCCGCTCTTTATCTTTGGATGCTGAGGCACCAGAGCCTTTGTCATTGACTTGGCCACATGGCTTAATTGGTGATTCTGCAGCCAGGGCTCTGGTGACAGTTACTGACCCCCTGCCAGACTAGAGTTCTGCACTCAGCCCAGACTTTTGACAGGCATCGGGCACCTACTTTGTGCCAGGTCCTATGTTCAACCCTTCAAGATATCCTCTCAACAGTCCTACAGGTAGACATCATGCTCCGTTTTAACAGTTGAATAAGCTGAGGTGCAGAAGGGTTAAATAAGTCATCTAAGGCCATTCAGGCAAAATCCAGAGCCCCTGTTCTCTCCTCCATCAGAAAGAAGGCAGGAGGGGGGCATCAGCCAGCACCCCAGGACGACTTGGCCTATGACCAGCCCTTCCCCCTTCTCCCTAGGAGCACCCCTCAGCAGTCTAAAGAGGATGCCACCTTGGAAGACAGCGTCTTCTCAGAGCAGCTGGAGCAGCCCGTGTGGCCTCCACCTGTGTGTTGGGACGCCTCCCCAGGGAGGGGTGAGGGAGCAGCCCAGTGCCCTTTCTAGGGGCCTGGGGCTGGGGAAGCTGACGCAGGAGGTCCCATTCCCCACATGTTCCCACGAATTCTCTCCTATTCCTCTGATCTCCCTCTGCTTCTCCTTTCAGTTGCTCTCATTGTTCATTTCTCAGCTTTTCATGCTCCTTTCTTTTCCCATTGTAAGTCTCATTGCTATGCAACCAGGCTATAGCTTTTGCCCATCCTCCCTCCCCCCATCAGATCCCTTGTAAGCAGTTCATGTCTCTCATTGTGAACCCTTTGCCTGCCTCCTGCCCCAGGTGAAAGGGAGAAGGGGAAAAGGAACTAGCCTGGAGGCTCAGACCTTAAATTCTGTGGCTTGGCACAATCTGGGAAGGCTTCCTGCAGGCAGTGACTTTGGGTGGTAGGCTGCAAAGGATGGAAGAGGAATAGTTGGAGGGAACCATGGGAAGAACCAAAACTGCGGTTTTTCTCAGTCTCTCCTTTAGAACTGTGGGGCATTTCACTTCTGCCGGTTGCTCATTTGTTCATTCATTCCTTCGTTCTTTGAGCGTCATATGCTGGGCAGGAAACAGGATCCTAGGGGAGACAGACATGCAAACAGCCACACAGTGTGATAAAGGCTGGGACCCCAAAGCCTGCTTAGAGGGTAAGGGCCTCCAAGATGGTTGACATGTGGCTCTTTAAGGGTCAGATCTATGTATCTCACGCCCCAGGTATGTTTACATAGGAAATGAATGCTTTTGATAGGAAAAAAAAAGTTTACTTTGCATTTAAACAATATTGAGTGCTCCACCGCTATGTTTGCACGCCCCACATCCAGCCATGGAAGCATTTTGCTGGATCGCAGTGGTTCTTACCTGTAAGTCCTTACCTTCCTATGGATCCTTTCTCCAAAAAACTGCTCATGTACACCAAAGTCTACACACATTTTCAGGGGCTTCAAGGACCCCAGGTTACAAATTTTGGTGCAGAAGGACTTAAAATTCCTAATGGTGTCTGAAAGATTAAACTGGGCAGGGACTCTGCAATCATTTTCTCTGGGTAGAGAGGAGGGCAAAGGGAGTCAAGCAGTGGAGGCTCCCTGGCAAAGGAAGAGGACAGACACTGACAGCTCATCATCTGCTGAGACAGTGAGAGCCTCTGGGACTTTAATGGGGTAGGTTGGGTTGAGGCCTGAGCATCTGCATTTCTAACAAGCTCCGAGGTAAGGCCAGAGCTGCTGGTTCTGGTCCACACTTTGAACAATGAGGCTTTAAACAACCACACCCTCTCTAGCCCTGCTTCTCTGCTTCCAAGGTGACTTCCCTTTTTAGCGAAAGGCACCACCACGTAGGAGGGTGACACCCTTGACATTTCCCCTCACTTATCCCCACTTGCAGTTACCAAGACCTGACAATGCCACTTCCTAAACAACTCTAACTCCATTTGTCCATCTGTGCCCTCCTGCCCTTTAGTTTAGGTCACCAACAACCATACCCTGCCTAGACCATTGAAGACTCTCTCCCCAACTTGTGACCCCCTGGCCTCCACTTTTAGTGTCCTTATGATCCATCTAAATTGCAAGTTGTCTCAGACTTTCAACATGGCTTACAAAGTCCTGTGTGGCCCTAGTCCTGCTTATATCTTCAGCTTCATCTCTTCCCATCACATTCATGTAGTTTCTACCTCTTGGCCTTTGCCTATGCTATTCCCCCTACTCAGAATCCTCTTCTTCATCCTTGACCCAACTCCTGCTCCTGCTTCAAGCTTCAGCCGGTGACCTGGCCTACTTGCTCTCTCCCCTGCTTTCACCTCAATCTAGATTGGGAGCCTGTCTGGCTGTTCCTGCCTCAGTCAGTGTGGTTATTCCTGAAACCTCCTGGAGCTCCTTTAAGCAAAACCAGGAATTGATTGTAAGGAGAGATGGGGGTATTTTTTGGACTGGAAGACAAGAAGCCTAGTCCCTTCCTCCCTTCCCTTCTCCTCTGGGACCTCAGAGACTCTCAGCCCAGTGCCCTCTGCCAGGCTGCTTCAACTCTCTGCCTCTTTGAAACTTGAATCCAAATTCCTGAGATATAGAATCTGATTGGCCTGTCTGTAATCAGGTGTTCTCCCTGGGTCAATCAGCTGCTGCTAGGGACCTGAGACACAGCACAAACGTGATCTCGGGGCTTCATCCCTAAGTAGGTGGGCAGTTTTGGAAAGAGGGATATGGGCTAAGAAGATCCCAAAGATGTTTCCCACAGCTCTGAGGAGTATTTACCCCATGCTTCCCCTCTTGTGGTGTAACTGCCTGCTACTGGTCTGCCTCCCTCAGTGGATAGAAGCTCTTAGGACAGGGCCAAGTCATGTAACTCTGTCAACAGGGACAAAACAGAATGTACCCAACAAATATTTGTGGGATCAAGTGCCAAGAATGCCTAGAAAAAGGTCAGTCCGTCAGGTCCATGGAGGCATCACAAAGGTGACATTTGGTCTGGGTATTAAAGGGGAAGTGAGTTTACCTGGAAATGGGTGAGTCATAGCTGAAGGGGGAACTAGACCCCTAGAGTGTCTGAGACAAATACTTCTTCCTCTGAACTCCTGCTGATTGTTCTGTTCTCACAGGAGTCAAGGCTGTGTTATAATGATGTTTGTGTGCCTGTCTCCCCTAGGAGCCTCAGGGGCTATGTGGTTTTCATCTTTGTGTAACAAATCCCCAGCATCTGTTGAATGAAACTGAATCCCCTCATGGCAAGGGGGTGGGCAATAGACAACCCTAAGATTCTCCTTAATACATGCTCATGGAAGCCAACCCTCTGTTAGACTTTGGGGCTACTGAGATGGACCGACCTGGTCCCACCTGGAGGAGCCAGACACAATTCCAATAAGAATGACATGGGTGATATAGTCAAGATAATTGCAGAAGTGCAGCTGAGGCTGGGAAACTCCCTCATAGAGAGGAGTGTAAGAGCCTGTAATCTTCTCCAGGAGGAGACGGTAGAATTGACTTCAAACAGTAAACATGTTGGCTGAGTTTTTTCTGTACTAAATAAATCTCACGTATATTTAGCACATTCAAAGAGTGTTTATAGCCATTTTCCATTTCTTTATTACCACTACAAGGAAGGCACTTTATTCCCATCTTACAGATGAAGAGCATGATGTAGGGAGGTTAAGGGACTTGCCCCAGGTCACACAGCATGTCGGTGGAGCTGGTCCCTCCCCACCATCGCAGAGGAAGAGGGAGAGACAGGAAGAGACTTCATTGCTTGGAAGGAGCTAGAGGACCTTCTGGACACCTCAGGTTCCTTCCAGACCTAGGAGCCCTGTAAGTAGGAACTGTTCCTCCTCCCCTACTTAGACGAAACCAGTACTGAGCACCTAGTATATATAAGACACAACACCCCACCCCCACCCCCCGCATTGAAGCCTGCTCTCAGAAAAACACCAGCATAATAGTTATTCACCCCCAAGGGAAAGTAAATGCTCCTAATTTCTCATTGTACAATATATGCTATATTTGAATTCTCAGACCTGGGTTCAAATTCTGGCTCCACAAGTTACTGACCGTGAGATCTTATATAATTCAACCTCTCTGGACCTCAGTTTCCTCATTTTAAAAGGAAGGATATGGTAACTTGTGATAAGCAAATGAGAACTTACATGTAAAGCACGTATCATAGTGTCTGGCGTACTATGCATGTTTATTGTTACAGCATTAAAAGAGTGTGACTGTGGAAGGGATTCTTGGCAGAGGTTGAAGAGAACCAGAGCCATTTCCTGAGAGCCTGGATGAGCGTCCATCTATGGAGCTGCCTCTCTGCCCCCAGGACAGGCCTGTTCACAGCTGAAGAACTGTGAAGAGCCTGAGTGAGGACTGACTCAGCAGAGACCACTGCAGGCTCTGGATCCCTTTTGGTTGAAGCAGCTTGGGTGCGAAGCTTGGGTGGTCACTAGAGGGAGTTGGAGACGAGAGAGGCCCAGGTGGTGGGGCTGTGCAAGTGTGGAGCCCAGGAGACCTATGGGCACCCCTGCGACCCAGGGTAATCACTGCTTCCCTGCTGTCCTAAGGCCAGAGGTCTCTCTAGCTCACTGGGGCAGAGAGCAATTGTCCTCAGCTGGCACCACAGGCCTAGAGTTCTTCTTTCTGCCATTATAGATCATGTTATTATTTTTTAAAATTTACTGTGGTAAAATACACATATCATAAAATGTACCATTGCAGCCATTTTAAAGTGTACAATTCAGTGACATTTAGTACATTCACAGTGTTGTGTAGCCATCATCCATCACCACTTTCTAGTTTCAGAACATTTTCATCACCCCAGAAGGAAACCCGTGGAGCAGACACTTCTAGTTCCCACTCTCTCCAGCCCTGGCAACCACTAACCTGCTTTTTGTCTCTCTCACTTTGCCTATTCTGGATAAAAAGAAAAAAAAAAAAAAAACAAGCAAAAACCCAAACCCATCGCTGTCAAGTTGATTCCAACTCATAGCAACCATATAGGACAGAGTAGAACTGCCCCATAGAGTTTCCAAGGAGTGCCTGGTGGATTCAAACTGCTGACCTTTTGGTTAGCAGCTGTAGCTCTTAACCAGTATGCCACCAGGGTTTCTGATTCCGGATAGTTCCCTATAAATGAAATCATTTGGCTATATGTCGCTTTTTGTGTCTGACTTCTTAGCATGTTTTCAAGGTTCATCCACGTTGTGGCATGTATCATACTTCACTCCTTTTTATGACTAAAGAATATTGTATGAATGTAACAATTTTCTTGATCCATTCATCAATTGATAAACACTGGTTGTTTCCACCTTTTGACTATTGTGAGTATTGCTGCTATGAACATTCATGTACAAGTTTTTTTTTTGACCATCTGTTTTGAATTCTTTGGGATACATACCCAGGAGTGGAATTGTTGAGTCTTACGGTAATCCTAGGAGTCCTTGAGTGGTGAAAACAGTTAAGTGTTCAATTACTAGCCAAAAGGTTGGCAATTTGAACCCACCTAGAGGTGCCTTGGAAAATAGGCCTGGTGATCTGCTTTGTAAAGGTCACGCAGCCTTGAAAACTCTATGAAGCAGCTCTGCTCTGCACACATGGGGTTGCCATGAGTCAGGATAGACTTAACAACTAACACAACAATCCTATGGTAATCCTATGTTTAACTTATTGAGGAACGACCAGACTGATTTCCACATCAGCTGCATTATTAAACTTTCTCACCAGTGATATACAAGGGTTCCAAATCTCCATATCCTCACCAACACTTGTCTTTTTCTTTATTTTTATTAATATTGTTATTATTATAACCATCCTAGTGGATATGAAGTGCTACCTCATTGTGATTTTCATTTGCATTTCCCTAATGACTAATGATGTTGAGTATCTTTTCATGTGCTTATTGGCCATTGGTATATCTTCACTTGGAGAAATGTCTATTCAAGTCCTTTGCCCATTTTTAATTGGATTGTTTGTCTTTTTATTGTCGAGTTGTAAGAGTTCTTCATATATTCTGAATACGCAGTAGACCTTTATGAGATATATGATTTGTAAATATTTTCTCCCATTCTATGTGTTGTCTTTTCACTTTCTTTATAGTGTTTTTTGATGCACGAATATTTTTAATTTTGATGAAGTCCAGTTTACCTATGTTTTTTCTTTGGTTGCTTGTGCTTTTTCTGTCATACCTAAGAAATCATTACCAAATCCAAGGTTATGAACATTTACCTCTATGTTTTCTTTTAAGAGGAGCCCTGGTGGTACAGTGGTTAAAGCACTTGGCTGCTAACCAAAAGGTCAGTGGTTCAAACCCACGAGCTGCTCCAAGGGAGAAAGATGTGGCAATCTGCTTCCATAAAGATTTACAGCCTTGGAAACCCAATGGGGCAGTTCTACTCTGTCCTCTAGGGTCACTATGAATCGACTCGACGGCAATGGTTTCTGTTTGTGTTTTTTAAGAGTTTTGGCTCTTGCATTTAGATCTTTGATCCATTTTGAGTTAATTTTTGTATGTGGTATAAAGTAAGGGTCCAACTTCATTCTTTTACATTTGGCTATTCAGTTGTTCCAGCACTATTTGTTGAAGAGACTTTTCTGTCACCCATTGAAAGGTCTTAGCATCCTGTTGAAATCAATTGACCATGGATGAATGGGTTTATTTCTGGACTCTCAGTTCTGTTCCATTGATTTATATGTCTATCCTTATGCCAGGACCACACTGTTTTGATTACTATAACTTTGTGGTGAGTTTTGAAATCGGCAAGTGTGAATCCTCTAACTTTGTTCTTTTTCAAGATTGTTTTGGTCATTTGGTGTCTTCCTTATAAATTTATGGAAACCCTGGTGGCATAGTGGTTAAGTGCTATGGCTGCTAACCAAAAGGTTGGCTAGTTCAAATCCACCAGGCGCTGCTTGGAAACTCTATGGGGCAGCTCTTCTCTGTCCTATAGGGTCACTATGAGTCGGAATTGACTTGATGGCAACAGGTTTGGTTTTGTTTTTTTATGAATTTTAGGATCGGCTTTTCCATTTCTGCAAAAAGGCTGCTCAAATTTTGATGAAGAGTGTGTGGAACCTGTAGATCACTCTTGGGAATATTGCCGTCTTAACAATATTAAGTTTCCAGTCTATAAACAGTAGTTGTCTTTCCATTTATTTGTCTTCTTTAATTTCTTTCAGCAATGTTTTGTAGTTTTCAGCGTACAAGTCTTATGCTTTCACAGTTAAATTTACCTCTGAACATTTATTCTTTTAAATGCTATTGTAAATGGAATAGTTTTGTTTTTTTTTAATTTTGTTTTTGGATTGTTCATAGCTAGTGTATAGAAATGCAAATGATTTTTGTGTGTTGATCTTGTATCCTGCAAGTGTGCTGAGTTTGTTTACTAGTTCTAATAGGTTTTTCTGGTGGATTCTCTAGTTTGTTTGTTTTTTTTAAATATAAGATGTCATCTGCAAATAGTGGTAGTTTTTACTTCTTTCTTTCTTATTTGGATGGCTTTTATTTATTTGTTGATTTTTTTAGGGGAACCCTGGTAGCAGAGTGGTTAAGTACTTGGCTGTTAACCAAAAGGTCGGCAGTTCGAACCACCAGCTGCTCCGCAGTAGAAAAATGTGGTAGTCTGCTTCCGTAAAGATTACAGCCTTAGAAACCCTGTAGGGCAGTTCTACTTTGTCCTACAGGGTTGCTCTGAGTCAGAATCAACTTGACGGCAATGGATTTGGTTTGGGTTTGATATTTATTTTTTTGCCTAATTGCTCTGGCTAGAACTTCCCGTACAATGTTGAATAGCAGTGGTGAAAGTGGGTATCCTTGTCTTGTTGCTGTTCTTAGAGAGAAAGCTTTTAGTTTTCACCATTATGATGTTAGCTGTGAGTTTTTTATAAATGCAATTTATCGTATTGAAAAAGTTCTCTTCTATTCCTAGTTTGCTGAATATTTTTGTCATGAAAGGCTGTTGGATTTTGTCAGATCTTTTTTCTTCATCAGTTGTGATGCTCATGTGGTTTTTTCCTTTCATTCTATTAATGTGGTGTATTATACCGATTAATTTTTATTTGTTGAACCATTCTTGCATTCCTGGAATAAAACCCACTTGGTTATGGTGTATAATCCTTTTAATACACTGCTAGATTCAGTTGGCTATTATTTTGGTAAGGATTTTTGCATCTACATTCATAAGAAATATTTATAGTTTTCTTTTGTTGTCACGTCTGTTTCTGGCTTTGGCATCACGGTAATGCTGGCTTCATAGAATGACTTAGGAAATGGTTGGCAGTGCAACAGTTTTCTCTTTATATTATATGTGGTATCCCTGCCCCTGGGTTTGTAGTTCTTCCAGGATGATTTTCTAGGCCACATCTTGCAAAGGGAATGGACAGTTTTCTATGCAAATTAGGTGACTATGGCCTACTGTGGGTATTGGTTAGTTTGTGGTCTTGGTGGAAGGAGTAGGCTTATAAAAGGGCTAATCCCACAGATGTTTAGGGGGTCCTCACTACCATCAAGAAGAAGAACCTGGAGTACAGTGCATCCTTTGGCCCCAGGATCCCTTCACTTGGAACCTCCTAGACCCAGGAGAGAGAGAACTGTTAACACTGAAGATGGTGAGAGACGGCACGGCAGCAGCTTGAGTGGCAGTGGCATGAGACTGCAGGAACCAGGAGACTGGTGTGAAATGGCCGCGGTGGCCTTGCTGGCCCATGGAGCAAGGCAGCTGCGGTGGGCTTGCCAGCCCATGGAGTGAGAGAGCTGAGCGCCTTTAGACAGGAGGCTTGCTAATGGAGTAGGATTCCTCCAGGCACTTGTCGGTGGAACTAAAGAGCTGTAACACTTGCTTGAGCAGGGCAGAAGACTGGCAGCGGAGGCCAGGCTAAGAATATGGCCAGCCTAGCCTAGAAGGGTGACATACCTACAGGCATGGCCAAGAAGGAGCTGAGAGCTGACTCGGTTGGAAGCTGTCCTGATTGAAGAATATATCCTGTCTCCTGAGTTGTTCCTGTTACTTCCCAGCCTCAGTTTTTCCATCTTTGAAGTGGAATGGTAATTGTGCAGACCTCACAGGGTCAATGTGATAATTAAATGAGTTAATACCTGTAAAGTGCTCACTCACAGTCATGCCTGGCATGTCCTACTACTTTTCTGCAGCATTACACAGTGCCTGGCACAAGGTATGTACTCAGTAATAATTGCTTAATGGGGTATTTTGATGGTACAGCAATTATGCCAGGCCTTCATTAGACACTGGAGTGGATTTTTTTTAAAGCGTCCCAGGAGATTATAGTCTGAGTGATGAGAGAAGTGGTGTACAAGGAGAAACTTTAAAAAAAATCTCAAGAATGGGACGACTGTTGAAGAAAGCAGCCTAATCTTCTGTCATCTTGGAATCTGATTTAGAGTGAACATGGTTTTGGCATTCTGAAGTGGAAGTGGGCTGGAAGTGTTGCTGGTGGAATGAGGAGAAGGTGAAACAGGTGAAAGGAAGAGGGCATGTCTTAGGCTGGGTCCTCTGGAGAAGCAAAACCACACACGCACGCACGCGCACGCACACACACTCATATAGAAAGAGACAGAGAGATTTATCTCAAGGAAATGGTTCATGTGGTTGTAGAGGCTGGCACGTTCCAAGTCCATGGGTCAGACATCAGGCTGGAGGCTTCTCTTGACTCACATAGCTGCAGGGGCTGATGAACCCAAGATCGGCAGGTAAGATGGTAGGCTGCTGGCTCACAGGCTGCAGAGGCTGACGAATCCAAAGATTGGCAGGCAATATGGCAGGCTGCTGGTTCAAGTTCCAAGAACCAGAGGTCAGATGAAGATGAGCTGGATGCAGGATCTAAAGTGAGCAAAAGCCAGTGGGCTTTGCCAGAACATCCGTATATATTGGATGCAGGCCACACCACTGAAG